TCTCTCTGGCAAAATGAAGTACAGCTATAATGGGATTTTGTAAATATCTCTGTTCAATTACAAGTTGCAGAAATGTATACACTTCAGTGCGTTGGGGTTCAAGGCACAGTGGCCCAGGATTCACAGATTAAATTAAAAGATGGAGGGAGAACTGGACCGACTCAGGTGGCCTTGGGCAAATCACAATTCCACCATATGCATGCGTTTCCTTATCTGTAACATGATGAGATAGAGCTGAATTTCTCCAGTTTATGAATTGGTGAATTATTCAGTTCCTATTTGTGATTTTTCTTTTTGGCCTTGGATTAATTCAGAAGAACTGAATGCATTTGTAGGCATATCTATTTCCAGTCAATAACATTTACCTGCTAGGCTCTGGATGCTTGTGAGGCAGAGATGAGTAAGATGTAGGGACCCCTCCCTGGAAGCTGATAGTACTACCAGAGGCAGGCTAAGGAAAAAAAGTAGAAAGAGGATCTCTATCTGGGTGACAGCAGAACACATTAGAAAACATCTGAGACAATTCTTGAATCATGGCAGAAAAGAAGGAAGGAGAAGGAGGTTTGACACAGTCTATTGGAAACCTTAAACATGGTGTTAGCTCTGCCCAAGCGTTAACTAATGCACTGTCCTGGGTTAACTCTTCAGCTTCACCAAATGTAACATTGAACCTCTAAGGAATCTTAAGCAAAAAAAAAACTTCCCCGTAGTTTACCACCAGCCTGGGAAGAGAGGTTGGGGAAATTCTCCCATTCCAATAGCCAATCTGATCAACTTCCTTTTCTGCAATGTTAACTTCCAATCAAGGTGTAGAAACCTGGGTTAATTAATTTTAATGAATCGTTAGAACAGACTGGGGCATGGTGGTTCACACCTGTAATCCCAGCACTTTGGGAGGCCGAGGTGGGTGGATCACCTGAGATCGGGAGTTTGAGACCAGCCTGACCAACATGGTGAAACCCTGTCTCTACTAAAAACACAAAATTAGCCGGCTGTGGCACATGCCTGTAAACCCAGCTGCTCATTAGGGTGAGGCAGGAGTATCACTTGAACCTGGGAGGTAGAGATTTCGATAAGCCGAGATCGCGCCACTGCACTTCAGCCTGGGCAACAAGAACAGACTGAACAGAAACTCATTGCTAACAAGGGCTTGCCCAGGCAAGATGCCATGCATCCTTCTGAGCAGGAAAGAAATCCTTGGAAACATTTTTTAAATGCATGCCATGTCAAGGCCAAATTGGAATAAAAAATCACTTTGGAATCTCAGGTTTTCTCAAGTCAGAATTTACAATCTACATTTCAAGGTCAATGGAACCACTTGATGGCCAATTTGGGGACAGGGAAAGAGCTACATGAGAAATTATGAATGGGCATGAGGGTTTCCGACACCAAGCAGAATCTCACAGCCACACTTGTCTGTAATGATCTCAGGTCATTTCCAAAAGCTCGGGTCAAAGGGCTCTGTGAGCACAGGGACTGTTGATTTAACACCAGCCTGGTGACATCCATTCTGCTCACTCTGTGGGCGGAATTTAAATGTGGAGGCATGGCACTAATGATCTGGAAGGGGGAAAGAAAAAAAGGGATTTAAAGTGTTTGTGGAAACCTGACCCTTCTCTGAGAGTCAGGGGTTCTCTTTTCAATTCTAAAGCATCCATCCTGTTTACAGACAACACGCTCAGTCCCATAATGGGGACCACGGAGAGTTAGGACTTGAAGTGAACATCTCCAGGGTGGGAAAGATGGTTTAAAGGTAACGTCGTGAGAGGGATAGCCATCCATGGAGATGTGAGTGGTCATTTTGGGAGGAATGTTAGGGAAAGACGCTTGAGGAGTCCAGAAGCCAGAATTGGTCAGTGTTTATATTCAGCCATAATGATTCTCATAGATAATGGTTAAGGGAAGCCACATCATTTTTTCAGTATAGAAAACAAAATCAGGCCAGGCATGGTGGCTTACGCCTGTAATTCCAGCACTTTGGGAGGCTGAGAGGGTGGATCGCTTGAACCCAGGAGTTCAAGACCAATCAGGGCAACATAAGAAGACCCTATCTCTATAAAAAATAATAATAATTATAATAATTAGCTGGGCACGATGGCATGCACCTGTAGTCTCTGCTACTCAGAAGGCTGGAGGTGGGAGGATCACTTAAACCCAGAGAATTCAGGCTGCAGTGAGCTGTGATTGTGCCACTGTACTCCAGCCTGGGCACCAGAGTGAAACCCTGTCTCAAAAAACAAAATAAAACAAAATCTACCTTCAAGGCTGACACAGATGTGCAAATTCCAATTCATTAGGCTAAACCGAGGGGTGCTGAATCAGAAGTCACCGAGTGTTGTCTTTGTAGAATTGGTCTTATGATCATGACCTGTCATGTCAGTTATTCCTGAACTGGAGCATGACTGGAGTAAATAAAGCTGCCTCAGAATCATCAGGGAGGCTGGGCCTGGTGGCTCACGCCTTTAATCCCAGCACTTTGAGAGGCCACGGCGGGTGGATCACCTGAGGTCAGGAGTTTGAGACCAGCCTGACCAACATGGCGAAACCCCTTCTCTAGTAAAAACACAAAAATTAGCCTGTTGTGGTGGCGGGTGTCTGTAATCCCAGCTACTCAGGAGGTTGAGGCAGGAGAATTGCTTGAACCTGGGAGGCAGAGGTTGCAGTGAGCCAAGATCGGACCATTGCACTCCAGCCTGGGCGACAGAGCAAGACTCCATCTAAAAAAAAAAAAAATCATCAGGGACATTTATGAGAAGTGCAAATCCCTAAACCCTATTTCCAAAGATTTAAGTCTAGTGGTTCTTTGGAAGTTTGATCTTCTCACTGATCATCTGAAAAAACTGACTTGTAAAATATATATTGATCTTTCCTGATAAATCTTATTAAATTATCCTTGACAAAAGCAGGGTATAAATACATGAAAAGTTATCACCTGGATGAGCTTGATTAGAGCATCTTCGGCCACCCATGCAACGTTCATCCCTGTGCTAACTCACTTTCTGAGGGGTCCGTTTAGAGGACTTCCTTCCTCTTCAATCTTCTGGTTTTCTGGCTGAAACACCCAGTTCCCTGAATGTCATAGATCTGCCCCTAAACCCACAGCTGAACACGTGCTTTTGCGGTAAAACCCTGAAGCTCAGCCCTGCACTTCATCAAGGTGCGCACTCAGCCACAATGCGTGCACGTGCCCCTAATACATTGTGACACCCAATTACTACAGGGCCTTTATGAGCTTCAAGGGAAATTACATTTTAAATTATAGCATACAAGTATAATGGAGAATCTAATTGTGGCAATGACAGTTTATTTATCAATCATTTATCATTTTGATTTATAAGGTGCCCAACTTGATTTAAAAGGAGCTAATGTTTAAAAATCTCTAGGCACCCATTCAACCAAATACACATTGAAAGCAACAAAGTGAATAACTCCTCCTTTTCTGCAGCCTTTCGTTCTTTTCCATACCCAAGGCCGAAGCTAGAAGCACAACCAGGTTGATCCCAGGCACCTCCAGGCAGCATCTCAGAACCTCTTGATATCAAATCTCATTTATCATAGAGTTTGGCAGCTATAAAGTATTAATGTTAAGAGAGAGCCCAGGCTCAGCTGTATACCCAAGTTCACAGAGCTTCAGATTTTTTTTTCTCTTTGAGACAGAGCCTCACTCTGTGACCCAGGCTGGAGTGCAGAGGTATGATCTCAGCTCACTGCACCCTCCACCTCCCAGATTCCAGCAGTCCTAGTGCCTCAGCCTCCTGAGTAGCTGGGATTACAGGTGTGCACCACCACACCCAGCTAAGTTTTGTATTTTTAATAAAGACAGGGTCTTGCATGTTGCCCAGGCTGGCCTGGAACTCCTGGCCTCAAATGATCCATCTGCCTCGGTCACCCAAAGTACTGGAATTATAGGCATGAGCCACCACCGTGCCTGGCTGAGCTTCAGAATGTAGAGTGGGAGGGAACCTCCAGAAGGGACCTGATTTCCACACCTCCATCCTCCTCCTTAGTTATTTAAGATTCACCCAACGGAGTCTATAGGTGCAAGTCATTAACCCTTCAAATGCAACTTGCTCCATGGTGTAAATTCGCTAGACATTAAACATATCCTTGCTCCCAAACCATTCTTCCTTGACAATCCTCTATGGGCTTTGTTCTAGGATTTCAGCACCTCTGACGCTTGACTTGCTCTAACACAGATCTGACATCTGCTGCCGTGCCTGGCTCTGACATGGGTCCACTCTTGTCTGGGCTTAGCCTTCATATCCCACTGACACCATCTACCCAGCTCCTGACTTCACCTTGCCTTGGTTTTCCAGCTTGATGTTCTCACTCCAGCTCTGGTAGCTCTGATGAGCTCACCATGACGCATGGCGCTGTTGAGCTACCAGATGTCTTGATAGGTATGAAGTCCCAGACCTGCTATAGCAGCTCATCAAAGTCGCAGTCTTCAAGGTGGGCCATCCCTACGGGCCAACGGCAGCAGTTATATAGGGTTTTCCAGAGCGTCGTTTCTAGTTCAAGTGAGCACACCTCTTACACCATGAGTACTTCTTACAAGCCAGGCACTAAATTTCCTAGGGCTCAGCTTTGAAGAGATCCTCCCACCTCGTAAGTTGGTTGTTTGTTTTGTTTGATTGGTTGGTGGATTGGTTTTGTTTTCTGAGACGGAGTTTCACCCTTGTTGCCCAGGCTGGAGTGCAATGGCCCAATCTCGGCTCACTTCAACCTTCACCTCTCGGGTTCAAGCGATTCTCCTGCATCAGCCTCCCAAGTAGCTGGGATTACAGGTGCCCCCCACAACATCCGGCTAATTTTTTGTATTTTTAGTAGAGATGGGGTTTCATCATGTTGGCCAGGCTGGTCTCAAACTCCTGACCTCAGGTGATCCACCTGCCTCGGCTTCTCAAAGTGCTGGGATTACAGGCGTGAGCCACTGTGCCTGGCTCATTTTGTTTTTTAGACTGTAGTCTCACTCTGTCACTCAGGCTGGAGTGTAGTAGTATAATCTAGGCTCTCTGCAACCTCCGCCTCCCAAGCTCAAGCAACTCTCATGCCTCGGCCTTTGGAGTAGCTGAAATGACGGGCACCTGCCACATGCCTGGATAATTTTTGTATTTTTAGTAGAGATGGGGTTTTGCCATGTTGGCCAGGCTGGTCTCAAACTGCTGACCTCAAGCGATCTGCCCACCTCAGCCTCCCAAAGTGCTAGGATTACAGGCATGAGCCACCACCCACAGCCCCTTAAGTTGTTTGAATTCCCATGTTCCACCTCCAAAGGTGGCATGTTCTTTCCACGATACCCTGCAGTTCTCCAACTCAACACATTTCCCTTTATGTTCTATGTTCTACTACCTTGTTGGAAAAGGCCTTAGGTCCACCAAGCTCCCACAGTGAGGGAAAACAGAACTCTCATTTTCCTCCTTCAGGGCTCTAGTGTCTCTACTAAAGAATGTGATGTGCTTCCAAATATTAGAACAACTAGTTGTCAATAGAAAATCGAATTTCCAAATGCTTTAATAACTTAATAATCATCCCTTCTCCAGTTAGGCTAAAATGGTCTTAAAGGACTCATTGTCTTTCCCCAGTGAGGAAGACTAATCTCTGAAAATAACTGATGGCAAAATCATCTGCCTTCTTAAGCAGGCTGTGGGCCACTTGGGATTCACACCAACATCTCCCCATTGTATTGCTTAAAATTTGAAAAGGGCTGGGCTCGATGGCTCACGCCTGTAATCCCAGCACTTTGGGAGCCCAAGGAGGGCAGATCATTTGAGGTAATGGGTTTGAGACCAGCCTGGCCAATATGGTGAAACCCCATTTCTACTAAAAAATACAAAAATTAGCCGGGCGTGGTGGCAGGTGCCTGTCATCCCAGCTATTCAGAAGGCTGAGACAAGAGAATTGCTTGAACCTGGGAGGTGGAGGCTGCAGTGAGCCGAGATCACACCATTACACCAAAATGGTGCAAGGGAGGCCTTTATGCAAACATTACAATTTGGTCCCTGTCCTTAAGATGCTTAGAGTGTAGTGAAAGCTTCAAGCTCTTTGCTGAGGTCAAAGTACAGAGAAGGGTGGGGGGTGTTCTGTGCTTCGGGCTTCCTAGGGCTTGCACTGAGGCTTAAGTAGCCTCCTCTGTTGACGGGTAGAACCCCTCTTGTAACCCCTCGAGTCATAGCTCATGGAGAGCCCTGAAAGTTCAAGACAAAAATTGGGATCAAGTCCAGACGCAGTGGCTCATGTCTGTAATCCCAGCACTTTGGGAGGCTGAGGTGGGAGGATTGCTTGAGCCTAGGAGTTCAAGTCCAACCTGGGCAAAACCTTGTTTCTACAAAAAATACAAAACTTAGCTAAGCACCTAGGTCTGTGACAGCAGCGTCTAACTCTATTTTCCCAAATTTCCATGTCATATTTTATTTTAAGCAAATCAGGCTACCTCCTTGGAAATAGCCTCAACTGAGCATCTGATCTGGCTAGGATGTTTCCACTGTCAGCAGGAAGGTGGGGGGACATCTCTCTGGGCTGGTGATGAGGACTGAGGCCCCGTGAGTCTAGACCTCACTCCTTATCACCAGCCCAGAGATGTCAGGCCAGGAGTTTGAGACCCACCTGGGCAACATAGCAAGACCCCATCTCTCCAAAAAGTTTTAAAAATTAACTGGGTGTGCTAGCGTGCACCTGTAGTTCCAGCTATTTGGGAAGCTGAGGTGGGAGGATCAGCTTGAGACCAGAAGACCGAGGCTGCAGTGAACTATTGTGGCACCACTGCACTCCAGCCTGGGTAACAGAACAAGACCCTGTCTCTATTTAGGGAGGACAGGACCTGGCATTTTGGAGGCTGCCTGTGCAGGCTTGCAGCTGCCCTGCTGGACATCAGCTCAGGCATATCCAGGGGCACAGGTGCCACTGTCTTTAGAAACGTCTTCTCCATAGGAACAGCAAGGGGGAATTTAGCCACCAAACTGCCTTCCCAGGCATTGTGTCCTCTTCATCAATCCATCCTTCTATCCTTTTTTGGAACTCACCTCTTTTAGAAATTCTACCTGGAGCACCCTCCATAAACCAACCCATTCCATGATACCAGCATCCTCAAGTTCAACACTATTTTGAACCCATGTATGCCCTTTTTCACAAAGCCATTTTAATATATGTGTCTTGGGGGCCGAGAAGTTCTTTTTTTGTTCTTTTTTTTTCTCTTTTTCAGGGACAGTGTCTCACTATGTTGCCCAGGCTGGTCTTCAACTCCTAGACTCAAACGATCCTCCCGCCTCAGCCTCCCAAAGTGCTGGGATTATAGCAAGAGCCACTGCACCCACCAAGAAGGAGGTTTTTGATGAGATTATTTCTAAAAATTAAAAACTGGAAATTCCTCAAAAGGCAAGGCACTTATTTAACCAGTTTAATCTTAACTTCATTTAAGATTAAACATATTTATTTTAATTGCTTTATTTAATCTCCACAGCTAGCCTGTGAAGCAGATGTTTTCATCAACTTTTGACATGAGATGAAATAACATATCCAAAGTCACATAGCCAGAGAGGCTGAGGCGGGTGGATAACTTGAGGCCAGGAGTTCGAGACCAGCCTGGCCAACACGGTGAAACTCCGTCTCTAATAAAAATACAAAAATTATCCAGGTGTGGTGGCGCACGCCTGTAATCCAAGCTGTTTGGGAGGCTCAGGCAGGAGAATTGCTTGAACGTGGGAGACAGAGGTTGCAGTGAGCCGAGATTGCGCCACTGTACTCCAGCCTGGGTGACAAATCCAGACTCTGTCTCAGAAAAAAAAAAAAGTCCTACAGCCAGAAATGTGCCATCCGGGATAAAAACCCTGATGTTAATGCCTGGTCTGGCATGGTGCTTGTAACACCTGGCTATCTCTTTTCTGATGCGTCCCTAAACCCTACCCTTGTAGATGCTAAGTAAACGTTGATTAACTGGCTAACTAATGCAGCCGAAGGCTATGGAAAAGGCTTTCCAGTACTCATTTTAGAGTCCAGGAAGGAGAACGTAACCATTCAGTTCCTAAAAGCAAAGCTTCATACCGACCCATCCGACCCTCCAAGGTTAGGAGAGATTTCTGCCATCTGGATTGTTACTCAATTGAGTCTGAAATGGTTGTGTTTGTTTGTTTGTTTTTTTGAGGCAGAGTCTCACAGTGTTGCCCAGTCTGATGTGCAATGGCGGGATCTCAGCTCACTGTAACCCCCTCCTCCTGGGTTCAAGTGTTTCTCATGTCTCAGCCTCTTGAGTAGCTGGGATTATAGGCGTGAGCCACCATGCCTGGCTAGTGTGTGTATGTGTGTGTGTTTAGTAGAGACAAGGTTTCACCATGTTGGCCAGGCTGGTCTTGAACTTCTGGGCTCGAGTGATCCACTCGCCCCAGCATCCTGAAGTGCTAGGATTATAGCCGTGAGCCACTGAGCCTGGCCAAGTCTGAAATGTTTAACTGGTTAAAAAAAAAAAAAAGAAAGAAAGAAAGAAGAGGGGGAAAGGAAGGGAAGGGAGTGGAGGGAGGGGAGGGGACTCAATCTGCCCAGGTAGGTATCATGATTAGGCCAGCCCCTGGTGCCTCTCGAAGCAGATGCTGAGAGAAAGTTAGGAATGCAAACTGTTTCAGGGAAGTAACACGTGTGGATGACAAGGGAGGAAAAGCAGCATTCAGCAGAAAGCGCTGTCCGAGCAATGCAGGACTGACAAAGCCTCTGCTAGCACAATGGAGAGTTCCAGAAAACAAATTGCCCACTCAAGGGGTCCCATGTTGGGTGGAACTGACCTGTCCCAAGTACCCCTGACTTGCTCAGTCATTCCATTCTTCTCCTTGCTCTATCATTGATTAAATGTTTCTCAGGAGCCAAGCCCTGTGACAAACTCACGAACTCTTTACACCTTATCCCATTCACCTCCCAAAACTTCTTTTTTTTTTCTTGAGACTGAGTCTCGCCCTATCACCCAGGCTGGAGTACAGTGGCGCAATCTTGGCTCACTGCAACCTTTGCCTCCTGGGTTCAAGTCACTCTCCTGCCTCAGCCTCCTGAGTAGCTGCAATTACAGGCACCCGCTATCACACCCAGCTAACTTTTGTATTTTCACTAGAGACAGAGTTTCTCCATGTTGGCCAGGCTGATCTCAAACTCCTGACCTCAGGTGATCCTCCCGCCTCAGCCTCCCAAAATGTTGGGATTACAGGTGTGAGTCACCATGCCCGGTCTCCTCCCCAAAACTTTTGAGGTTGGTATTGCATGAAGAAACTGAGACCAGAGAAGTACAGTGTCTTCCCCAAGGTCACACAGCTGGTAGATGTCTGTGTCATTGAGGGCTCATAGCTGCAAGCAACACGGGATGATGACAGGCTGTCAGGTTTGGAAGACAATAGGGTAGAACCATGAAAGAGAGAAAAATGACAGTGCTGTGTGAGCGTAACCTCAGCCCCTAAACTGAGGTGGACATGAAGGTGTTTTAACTGCATTTAGTAACTGCACTCAACAATTGCACTCTGCTGTCAATCATCATACAGGTGGGGCCAGGGGAGCTTGGACCAGTTAAGAACTTGCCAGCAGGTGCAGAGCTAGGAGTGTCAGAGCCTGAGGTCTAAGAAGCTCTGAACCACTAACTGCACCTTGATTTACTCGCAAGAATCTCACAGAGGTGTTACGAAGATGAAAAGAGATAAGGGCTTCAAAGTTCTTTGAAAAGAATAAAGGCCCACAGATTTTCAAAGGATTAGACAAGTGGATATTAAGGAACAATAAGCATTATCCTATTTATTAATTTTCCTCAATTTGCCCTGCCTGCTCCGTGAGACACTTTGCTCCAGTTCCCAGAGAGGCATGAGGGAAGCTTTTTACAGCATATGAAAAGTATTAATAATTTCGTATGGTCTTAATTCATTTCATGATTCAGTTCTGCTGAATCTACAGAGACTGCTTCCAGCCTAGTAATTATAAAAGCCGCTTCCAAATCAGCCCCGACTTGATCTTACACTATTTGATCATTTTATTATTCCGTTTTACTTTATTATTCGGTTTGATTTGGCTCTAAGAAACCTGAGGCTACATAAGCTGTATGTTTTATATCTTTAAAAGTTCTGTTGAGATAAATTCTTATATAAAAAGGCACTAATGCTAAATCAATGCCATTTATTTTTAAATATGAGAATTTTGCTCTAAGACTGAGAAATCTTTGATACCAGATAGA